TCCCTTACTTCAAAACGAAAATATTTAAAATTTCCTCTGCATGTGAATATTGATCGTCAGCAATATTTCTAAACTGTCTACCACCAAAAATCCTCCTTCATATATGCACATATTTCTACATACATACACACATCTATTTTAAAGCATTCATCTATGCTTCATTGTCTGTGTGCGTGCATTTCCTTTTCGTCTTATCCTTCATATCCATGCATATTTTATAATTAAACAATGCCAAAAATTTCGTAAGGATATTTTCTGCTTTAATATTTATGCTCACTAATTCGTTGATAGAGGACGAAGGCCTGCTTCCACAGCTAGGCTGTTGAAAACAACAGCTGCTGCTGTGGCTGCTCCTAAAACTGCAAATGATGTTGTTTATGTTTTGATTTAAATATTTGAAAATCTCCGGCACATGCTCTCCACCAACTCCACTCACATATGCATTTTTTATATAAACATTAAACACACATTGTAACCAAAAGTAAATAGAACTTCTTGAAGTTATTTTACAGATTTATTTTGCAAAAAATTAGTAACGCATGAAAAAAATTGTGGCGTATAATTAATTGGGTATAGGAGTGTGATTGAAAAATAATCTTTAAAAAATCCACGCCATGTGTGAATGGTTTCTTTTGAAAAAATATTCTTTAAACCAGTGAGCGGTGCAGTATAGTCGGACGGGGCCGAACATACTATACCCGACACAACTACCACAGAACTCTATCATTCTGCAGATGTTTATTCCGAGCTTGGGTAATATTTCGTGATAGTTGCACACTCTTGTCCGATTAGAGGTCAATAGCACCTCTTCCATACACTGAAATATTTTCCAAATATTACTAACCCAACGCTTCTAATTACTTATACAGATTCCCTTCACCATGGGTTGGGTTGTGATGTTCGTATAATAATTGTAGAATCAAAAAAAAAAAAAAAAATAAATTTTCGGTCCACTTCATCCAAAAATTGTTATCTGATCATGAACGAAAATTATAGACAATAACTGGAACCTCATGGAACATTTCAAAGCGATCAGCGCTATATTTCCGCGCTGTAATGTGGTAATGGTTTATTAAATAATATCTGAATACGTGTAATTCCCACATCCGAGAACATACGACAATATAATTGGTATCAATTTAAAGGCCAACCACTCCTCTTGGATATACTATCAACTTCTCGGCTCTATGTCCTTCAGGAGTAAATATATACGCTACAATAAATTTTTTTTTAATTTTTCACACAAAAGTCAGGGTCCATTTGACCCGCTAAATATTGAACGATCTTTATCAAAGAATGCATGCTTATTCTCTGGCCCGATTCCCTTCTTCAATCAAAAAATTGGCGGTGTTTGGGCCATAATTGCGGCCTCTGGAGCGACCAGAAAATTGACAAAAATTAAGTATTTGGTCCATTTCATCCCCTAAATATTAACTGATCTTTACCAAAAACAATAGGGGTCTTCATTGGGACGAACCCTTCCTACATGCAAAATTTCTTGAAGATTGGTCCATAACTGTAGCCTGTATCGTGTTTACAAATTATAATGGACAGACGGACGGAGGGACACACATGTCTAGATGGACTCAACTAGTCGAGATATGACGATCGGTATACTTAAAGGTGGGTCTAGGGCCAATATTTCGCGGCGTTACAAACTTTTGGGGCTGCACAAAGCTATAATGCCCTGACAACATAGTTGTGTAGGGTATAAAACTGCAGGCCTTGTGTGAATGGTTGTTTTGAGAAAATATTCTTTAACAAATCCACGCCTTGTGTGAATGAAAAAAAGAATATTCTTTAAAAAATCCACATCTTGGGTTGGCCCATTTGAAAAATCCTCAATTCAATTCATTATTATTTTTTTTTTTTTTCTTGAAAAATACCAAAGTTAACTTATCCGATTTTTTAGTATCAAAAATATGACCATTTCTAGAAAACGCCGCATTTTGAGTGCCTTTTTCATATGCCTGATGCACTTTTGTTCATTTCCATTTCTAAAACAAACATTCCATAATTTATTCCAAATGTCACAAAAAAATTACTTACACACACTTCATTAACTCCCTCATCTACCTAGCAGCCAGATATTTATTATAATACTTTAGAAGAAAAAGTATTATAATAATACCTTACTATTTTATGCATATAAATCAGGGCTGTCCACACTAATACATTCAAGTTTTGTGATTGTATATGTTTCAAATACAAAATTTTCAAAAGTTCTGTTTCTATGTCATATACTGGGAGAAATTTTGTTAAAATATTATTTTCAAATTTTTAGGAAGAAAAAAATTTAATATTTAATGCAAGTATGGTTGTTGATGATACATTTTCCAATATAAAGATATATTTGTTTCTGTTTTGCCCTTCCGGTATAATATTGCTCACTTATTTTGACCTGTTCCGAACTAATGTTTGCCAGAAATATCCCCATTTTTTTCGATTAGTGTATAAAAACAAAAAGGAATGAATGACAATTTTGAAAATAATTTTTATTTTCAAAATTTTCTCTTTTATGATTGTATGTGTGAGCAATTTGACACACACCGACAGCCCATGGGACCTATTTTGGGCACAGCTGATATAAATATTCTCTTTACAATAAAAAAAACACACACACACAGAAAACGGAAACAGAACAGACAAGGGAAGAAGTTAACGTTGAAGGCAAAAATATAAAAGCATTAATTTAGTCATTATCTGCTTAAAGATAAAAATGATTTACTTACTTGCATCATCATCATCATGAGAGAAATAATAAAAAATTACACACATATACATACATGCATATAGTGTGCATGTATATAAAATCAACCACGAACACACATACCAACACATTCAAAGCTATGGATATTATGTTAATGATTTTAAGCCATCTTGAATTGTGAGTGGTAAAGTTCGCCCCCAATCTCCTCCTCTTACACATCTCTTGGTAAAATACTTATTTAATGTCTATATTAAGTTTTTTGCTCTGTGTGCCATGAAATATGTAGTGGGGTAGGAGGTCTATACCACTTTTCCCAAGAAGTCTGACAGAGATACAAAATAATAACGTTAACTTTGTCTAAATAAGATAATCGCCGTTGCTGCCACTGCTTGGATGCTAACAAACACTCAGAGAAAAAAACAAAACAAAAAAGCATTTAAGGCTTTGTGAAGTGTGAAAAATATAACAGCAAGCCAGCCAGGCAGCTTACTCTCTTAAAAGCAACAACTACTGCATCGCTTTACACAACGCAGAGATAATAATGAGAATATCCATTAGGGGTTTTTACGTACTCAAGGGCAAGATAATAAATGTGTGTTGGGCTCTTTGTGGGTGTTAAACATGGCAAAGGGGCCAGCGAGGGAGTACGGTCCACATTAAGCCGAAAAACTATTAAAAAAATATAACGCCTACCCATTGTAAAATATTGTAATTCCACAATGAAAATCCTTTCACATAGCAGCACACACAGTAACACACACTCACATACCATTACGAGAGAGCAACAACAACCCAATATTCTCTATGAATGGCGATTATTTCTTTTTTTTTCTTGGCTGTGTGTGGAGAGTACTCTGGGATGCGCAATTTTAATGTCAACAAATCCAATGCATTCCCTTAATGAGCAGACATCATACCACCCATCTCATTTAGTTTGTGACATCTTTTTTTCGTTTGCTGTTGTTGTTGTTTGGCCATCTAATACCCTCAAATGCATGCTCTAGCAGTGAGTGAATGGAATTATCAATGGTAACAGTACCAACAACATGAACAACAACAAACACAACATAAACGGGGAGAATAACTCATCAGCCAATCACAGCATACCCCACACACAAGCCCAAGCACAACAAAACAACAACAACACAACAACACATCAACACACATACCCCTCACACAAAAGGCCAAGCACAACCGAATAACAACAACGACACACGAACACACACTCAAATGGCCAAGCACAACCGAATAACAACAACGACACACGAACACACACTCTCGGCTCTATTTACTTCTGTACTCTCGTCGTCAACATGAGAATAGCAGTTGTGATAACTCTCTTAACAGTTACCACAGCGAAGGCAATGTGAGAGAGATAGAATACAAAGGGCACACACAGAAAGGGATTTGTTTACGGTAAATGGGTGGCAGTGTGAGAGAGAGAGAGCGAGAGAATTTCATTATACGTTGTGTGTATGAGGGAATTTCAATATGGCAAAGCAACGGAGCAGCATAACAACAAAAACACATAGGAAGAGGCGTGGTTTATGTGGCCATTCCTCACATCAAACACACACACACAGAGAGTAACAGGGATTAATGAACGGCTGCCTGGTTGGTTTCATTCAACTGCTATACTTCTCCTTTGTTCTGCATTTAGATGAGGGTTAGTTGGAAAATCGGGTTTTGCAAGTTGTTAAGTTGTTTATTAGCGTGTCAACTGTCAGTACAGCATATCATTTTCGGATTTCTAACAAGCAACAAGAGACCAACCAACCGACTAGCGTACAAGCAACCACACGAGTAGAGATATTTTTTTTTAGCTCAGTGACAAATTAACAAATATTTTAATAACATAATAAAGTGTGAAGAAAAAATTAAAACTAGAGAGAGAGGAGGAAAAAAATTTTAAATCATTAAAGAGGATTAAAGATAATCAAAATAAATTAAATAATAATAACAACAACAAGTGTTATAAAATAACAAAATAAAAAAATTAAATAAAAAAAATAAACACAATTAAAAAAATTCGAAACAAAGTGTAAACAAAAAAAGTTCAATAAAAAGTCAGTACAAAAAATTTATCAAAATTCTGTCCTCATTGTGGCCAGCTCCAGACCAACTTGTTGGTAAACTGGAGCCTAAATTAAATAACCCCAGCGGTAGTGGTTCTACCAAATTTAAAATTACCTTGGTAAGGACGGGTGACAACGAACGTTGTACGCCATCGACCACACCACCGGCGTCACCGTCGCAGGCAGTCCAACCTCACCATCTATACAGCAACAATATGGTTGAAACCCATTCCCCACCAACTGGATTAACAATTAAACGTTGCCCCTCGGCCAGTCCGCAGCACGAACAGCAGCAACATCAAATTTCGCCGCATAATATGGCCACACAACAACAACAGCAGCAGGCCCATTTGCAGCAGTTGCAATTGTTGCAACAACAACAATCTACAAATCGCACGCGATCACCCAACGATGTCATCTCCGCCGTTACATCGGCCAACACCACACCCAATGCTGCCTATTTGACCACTGCCATGCTATTGAATTCTCAACAATGTGGATATTTGGGCCAGCGTTTGCAATCGGTTTTCCAGCAGCAGCAACACCACCACCATATTACCCAATCTCAAACCCCCTCCTCAGATGATGGTTCACAATCGGGCGCCACTATCATCTTGGACGATGATCATTCTCCCCCGCATTTACAGTCGCAACGGCTGACCCGTGATAATGCCGCCGCCTCAGTTGTACAAACAGCTGCCGCTGCCTCCATATTTAGCATTGATAGCATTTTGGGTTCAAGATCTCAAAATCCAAATAATGGCAACAACAACAGCAATAATAATAACAACAACAATGCAAATTTGAATAACAACAACAATCATATCATTAAACGTTCCACCGATTCACCCACCTCACCAAGTTCAAATTCAAGTTCGGCGGCCTCTAGCCCCCTGAGGCCACAACGTGTACCCGCCATGTTACAACATCCCGGCCTTCATCTAAGCCATTTAGCTGCAGCGGCGGCAACGGGTTTTGCGGCGGCCTCACCTTCAGATTTTTTGGGTAAGTTTCGTTCGGGTAATGTGATAGTTTTTCATTGTGTTTGTTAAGGAGATTAACAAATTTTAAATGGGGGGAAATAAGGTTTGGGTCTCAAGTAATGAAAATTATCGACAAGGTCATCCGTCAATCAATAAAGGGAAAAATGGGGGAAAATGTGGCATAGGAAAAATTAATTTTATTGTAGATACATGTCAAATTTAAATGACAGCTCATGGAAACGTTTGCAGGTTCTATAATGCGAATTTATGAAATAAGATTAATAAATAGACACCAAGTCACTAAAGTACAAAAAAAAAACACCAAATATTTTTTCAACTATAATTTAAGATAATAATCATTCAAAAATATTTTTGGAAAAAAATCCATAGCTGTGACAGTTCTCAGAAAATATTTTTTTTAAAAAAGTCCGTAGCTTGTAGTAGCTGTCAGATATTATTTCCAAATCCCATTTTTTTTTTGTGAAAGTCCTAAAAAAATTTAGCTGTGATAGTCCTCATAAATATTAAAAAAAAAAAGTGCGTAGTTGTGACAGAACCCCGAAATAAGTTTCAGAATTTTTTTAATGGCTGTGATAGTTCTTGGGAGCTCTTTATTGTCCCTGAAATAGTTCTCAGTTTTCATAGAAAGCGTTTTTTAGATGTCTGTGATAGATTTAAGATTTTTTAAATATCTGTGATAGTTCTGAGGTTTTTTTTAAATATCTGTGATAGTTCTGAGATTTTTTTAAATATCTGTGATAGTCCTCAAATACATTTTATAATAACCCTTAGCTGTGATATAATTCTCAGAATTAGTTTAAATGACTGTGCTAGTTCTTGGAAGCTGTGATAGTCCACTGAAATAGCTCTCAGTTGAAATAGACAACGTTTTTAAATGTCTTTGATAGTTTTTTTTTAATATATGTGATAGTTCTCAGAAATAGGTTTTTGGAAAAAAAATTGAAATGTATAGTAGAAAATATATTTTATTTAAATTCATGGTTGTGATCGGTCTTAAAAACTATTTTATTAAATATAGTTCTCAAAAATAAAAATAGTTCCCTAAAAAGGTTTTTTTTCAAAAATGCATAGCTGTAAAAGGGCCATAGAATAGTCCTCCGATTTTTTAACTGATTGTGATAGTTCTCAGAATTTGTTTGAATGTCTGTGATAGTTTTCTGAATTTTTAAAAACATATTTTTTTAAATGTATAGCTGTGATAATTCTTATTTTTTAGGCATAGCTGTGACAATTCCTTGAAAATATTTATGGTTAATTTATAGCTGAATAGAACCCTGAAATAATTCTCAGATTTTTTTAAATAACTGTGATAGTTCTCAGAATTTTTTAAATGGCTGTGATAGTTCTTGAAAGCTATAATAGTCCCCTGAAATAGTTCTCAATTTTATTAGAAATATTTTTTAGTCTGTGATATTTCATCTCAGTTCTCAGATTTTTTTAAATGGCTGTGATAGTTCAGGAAAGCTGTAATAGTCTCCTAAAATAGTTTTCAAACCTCTATAATAATAAATGTGATAGGTCTTTTCAAAAACAGAAAACCTCAGCTGTGATAGTCTTGAAAAAAAAGCTGTGATAGTTCTCCGATTCTATTTCAATGAAAATCTCAGCTGTGATAGTCTTGAAAAAATAGCTGTGATAGTTCTCCCATTTTCTTCAATGAAAACCTCAGCTGTGGTAGTCTAGAAAAAAAAATAGCTGTGATAGTTCTCCGATTTTTTGCCAAATTTCAGTGATAGTTCTAGGAAACTATTTTTTGGAAAAATTCAAAACAGGACATATATTTTTTCTAAATTCGAGGCTGTGATATTCCTTAAAAACAAACCCCAAAAAGAAAACTTCAGCTGTGATATTCTTGAAGAAATAGCTGTGATAGTTCTCCGATTTTTTCAATGAAAACCTCAGCTGTGATAGTCTTGAAAAAATAGCTGTGATAGTTCTCCGACTTTTTTTTAATGTCAGTGATAGTTCTCGGAAAATATTTTTTGGAAAAATTCAAAGCAGGACATATTTTTTCAAAGTCCGAGGCTGTGATATTCCTTAAAAACAAATCCAAAGTTGTGATAATTCCTAGAAAATTTTTTAAACAAAATTTTAGCTGTGATATTCAAATCCATAGCTGTGATATTCCGCATAAAATATATTTTTTACAAAATTCATTATCCCCAGGAAATATTAAAAAGAAAATCCTTCAAAAATATATTCTATAAAAAATTTCATAATTAAGAAAATTTTGGGAGACAGATTTCAAGAAATCCGATTCTTTAAAAATGTTCTATAAAAAATTGACTAATATAGCAGAAATCGGCGACTATTTCATTTTAATTTGAAATCGCCACCATCCAAGCCGAATTTCATAAAAAAGTAGTTACTTTGTGGAACTACCACCAAAGCCAAATTAAAAAAAAATAGCTACTTTGTAGGACTAGGCCCGGATGTAGTTAAAACAATACCTTTCGGAATAGATTTTTTATGAACAAAAAAACGTGCCATGATTTTTTGCATTAAATTTTCCTTCTTAAATCCCCCTGTCCCCCCTTCAATACATTTAATTTCGCCTTAAGTATAAGATTTACATTTTATTTAAAATATTGTAAATAGAAAAGAATTCTGAAAACGGCTTATATTATTTTATGGCACAACCGGGCTTTGAGCTTAAATCGATGGTTGAAGCGATTAGCGGAAAGAAGGAATCCGAAAGCAATAAAGCGGAAAAGATGATTTGCCGATGTATTCCTCCGACAGCAGCAGCAACAACACTTTGTCGATAAAATGTTACACTTCACCTCTTCCGTCTATGCGTGGCACAACACCTGAGGCATTAAATTGTGGGTCCCCCACTTCGTTTGATGTGACAGCCGTCAGTAGTCAGCTACTGCAGCTTTTAATATTACAATGCAAAGAAGAAAAAATCACAATCTTCTAAGTGAAAGCATTTTCTATTGCGCTAAGCATATTTAAATGTTTTAGAAATAATGTTTTCCATATTTTTTTGTTGCGAATAGCCCTTCAAGTCAATTTCTGTGGATTGTTTTTTTTTTCTTTTTGTTCTCCTTTTATACCCTTAAATCCCCTGAATGACTGACTGACTGCTTGGGGTCGGTGGGTGAGTAATTTTAAACCATAATGGAATAGACACTCACTCGCTCACACACATTTTCAGGTGAGTTAGGTTCGATGGATATTTTTTGTTGTTGTTGCAAAATTTTCCTCCCTGTCACACTCTTCGGTGAGGTGGTGAAAACATTCGATTTTACATTTTTTCCTTGCGGTTACAGCGACGGGGTTGTGTGTGTGTATTAAATAGTATAAAAAGCTTCGGTTTTTAAGCATAATGCAGGTTAATTCATCCATGAAAGATGGAAATATTTTTTATGGAATCAAAAGCGAACGTATCAGCAGCAGCGGCAGCATCAGTGGTCGCCATAGGCTTGCATTTATTTGCTGTGTGTTCTGTTTTGTTAATCTTCCCAAGTATTTATGGTATTTTAGAGCGAGAACATAAGAGCTTAATGCAAATAGGTCATGGTGGTTAGATTAGGTATGTGGAGGACAATTGAAAGGAATATATTCCGAGGAATTTGTTAAAAAAAACTGCTGGGCGATAACTGAATCGCAACAAAATTTTAAATATGACTAATGGGTGATAAAAAAAATTTATTTTTAAATAATCCAAACCTTACATGAATCACAAAAAATATTTTTTTAAAAATCCACGCCATATATAAAAAAATTTGGGCAAAAAATGTTGGTCGGATTTTTTTTTAATTTTGTTCGTTTTTTTTAATTTTACAAATTCAGATTTTTGTATTTTTTACTTATTTTATACCATTATGAATTTAATGGTTTTTTATGTTTCGCCTGCTATTAAATGCCCAAAAAATTTGGTCGGATTTTCATTTTTTTAATTTTGGTCGAATTTAAAAAAAATGAAATTATTTGTTATCATACGTTTTTTATTTATATAATTATTATTATTATATTTCTGTTTTTTTTTCATATCCCAACAAAGAAATTTTTGGTCGAATTTTTTTTTTAATTTTGGTCGGATTAAAAAAAATTAAATTATTTTTTTTTTTATCTTTTACTTATTTGATTATCATTCATATTTTGTTTTTATTTTACATGACATGAAATGCCCAAAAAAAAATTTGGTCGGATTTTTAATTTCAAATTTTTGGTCGAATTTTCTCAAATTTGGTCGAATATTTTTTATCATTATTTCTTTATTTTTATAATTTTTATTATCTCACTGCAATATTTTTGTCTTTTCATATTCTACCATTTTTTGTTCATTTTTTTTTTTTTTTTTTTTGAAATTTTGGTCGGATTTTTCAACAAATTTTTTTTATTTTGTACGTATTCTTTATTACATACATAATGGTTTTTTATGTTTTGCCTGCAATTAATGTCCAAAAAAAAATTTGGTCGGATTTTCAGTTCTTAAAATTTTGGTAGATTTTTTATTTAAAAAAATTGGTCGAAAACATTTTTATCATTATTTCTTTATTTTTATAATTATTATTTTCTCAGACAAGTGTTTATGTCTTTTCATATCCCATCAAAAAAAAAAAAAAGGTCGGATTTTCTTTTTTAAATTTTGGTTGGATTTTTTGAATTTTGCAAATTTATTTTTTTACTTACTCTTATTTCATAACGATTTTTTTTTAGTTTTGCCTGCAATTAAATGCCCAAAAAATTTGCTTTTTCAATTTTGTTCATTTTTTTATAAAAAATTGCTCGATATTTTATTTAAATTTTACAAATAATTTTTTTTTTAATTTTTACTTAAATCTTCCATAAATTTGGTTCATTTTGCAAAAAATTCAAAAAAAAAATTTGGTGAAAAATTGGACCAAATTATTTATTTTTATATTACATTTTTTTAAGCTAATTTTTTTTGTGTTCATCAAAAAAAATTGATCAGATTTCCTGTTGTTTTAAATTTTGGTCGATTTTTTTTAATTGGTCGAATAATTTTTTATCCTTATCTCTTTATTTTTATAATCATTATTTTCTCAATGTTTTCTAATGTTTTTGTCTTTTCGGATCCGAAAAAATTTAATTTCATATCCGATCCAAAAATGTTTGGTCGATTTTTTTTTAATTTTTTTTGGATTTTTTTGTATTTAATTTTACAAATTTCAAACTTTTTATTTTCATTCTTAATTTTTATTAATTTCTCATACTTTTGGTCGTTTTTTTTTTTATTTTTTTGTAATATTTTTTAGTCGTCTTCCTGCAAATATCCGACAAAGAAAATTAATTTCATTTGTAATATTTTTTAGTCGTCTTCCTGCAAATATCCGACAAAGAAAATTAATTTCATATCCGATCCAAACATTTTTGGTCATTTTTTTTTTTTTTTTAAATTTGTTCGGATTTTTTTTTTGTATTTAATTTTACAGTTTTCTAACTTTTTTATTTTCATTCTTAGTTTTTATTAATTTCTCATATTTAGTTTTTGGTTTTATAGTTCCAAAAAATTTTGGTGTTTTTTTTTTTTTTTTGTTAATTTCTTGATTTTTTTTATAAAAAAATATTTTTTATTCGACTTCCTGCATATTTGATTGATTTTAAAATTTCACAAATAAATATTTTTTCTATTTATTTAATTTATTCTAATTTTTTAACAATTTCCCATTTTTTGGGGGTTTTGGCCCAATATTTTTTTTTAATTTATAGAATTTTTTTAATAAAAAAAATATTTCGACTTCTTTCAATTTCGGTCGGTTATTAATTTTACAAATTAAAAACTTCTATTTTTTTATTTTTAAAAAATTTTCCATTTTTTTGGTGGGTTTTAAGCCCAATATTCTTTCCGGAATTTCTTGTTTTTTTATTTAAAGAAAATTTTTTATTCAATTACTTTTTTAATTTCGATTTTTCACAAATGAATATGTTCTAACATTTTTTTTATTTTATTCGAATGTTTTAACAATATCTCATTTTTTGGGTTTTTATTCCCAAAAAATTTGGTCGTTTTTTTTAAATTAAAAAAATCTAAATTTTTCCTCTCTCTCTTTCCAGTTGCCTATCCCAATTTCTATCCAAATTATATGCATGCAGCTGCCGTGGCCCATGTCGCGGCCGCTCAAATGCAGGCCCATGTTACGGGTCATAATGCGGCGGCAGCTGGATTGTCGGCCCACAATCATCACGCCACGGCCCATCATCATTTACATCACAGCGCGCATCATCACCCCCATCATCATCACCATCATATGGCTGCCCATTTGGGTCATGGACCACCACCAAAACGAAAGCGTCGTCATCGTACAATTTTCACCGAAGAACAATTGGAACAATTGGAGGCGACTTTCGAAAAGACCCATTATCCCGATGTGGTGCTGAGGGAACAATTGGCACTGAAGGTGGATTTGAAGGAGGAAAGAGTTGAGGTAAGTTAGTGAGAAGTTGGTTAATTATAGAAGAACAAATTTTTTTGGTAGAAGTTTTGGTTAAATTTTCGTGGGAAGCCATGAGAGTGCTGCTCATGCCCTGTATGTGAGAATCGTAGTTATTTGTTTAGTGGATTTTTATGGGGTTTCCTATTTAACCAAAAAATAAAAATAAAACGAAGTTTGTTGGTGATACCAAAGATTTATCTTGTGGTGAATGTTAATTTGTTGAATTTAAGGATATGGTTCGGCTAAGCAAATACCATGAGATTGAGATAATGGTTCGGCTGGTTCGGTCACAAGCTTCCCCGGCCAGAGAGAGATATCATTTTTATTGACAATGTAAACAAATGACGACGTTCAGAGGTTTTGTTTTACAAAAGCGAAACAAAACAAAAAAAAATCCCAAAACCTAATACTTTATGCCTCAGTTGCCTGGGAATCATTTGCCCCGGGGGCTTTACCACCCCTAAAGTTTGAGGCTAAGGACAATGATGATGGTGATAAGAGACCACCAGAACTGAAAGCATTGGCCAAAGGTATTTAAATACAACTTAGCAGTCATTGAAACACACAATAACAACAACATCAAAAATCCCTTAAAAGCATCTCAAAAATGCTGAGTGGGTATTTGATTCGGAAGAGTGGTGGGGTGAGGTTATTTTTTCCAAAATCCATTACCGAAAATTGCCGTTGATTGTCAACACAAACAAAAACAAACATACAATTGCTACTCGTTGACAAATCAATTTGTTAACATTTATTGCTAAATTAAATACCCCCCTCCCCTGACAACTATCTTCCGCTCCCCTCCCCCCCCCAACCCCTCTTCGATAAGTGTTGAATTTGTAAGGATTTATTGTCAAACAGATGTGGTGTTGATAGCACACACAAATTTCAAATTAATTGTCCTCATGTGGCATATGTTTTGAATTAGAGGATGTGGAGGAGAGGAGGCGAGAAAGGAGAAAGGGAAGGGTTGCAAACACTTCTAAGGTTTAATAAACAAACAAACACACACACACACACACAAATAATCATCATTATTATAAATGTCAAATGTCACCACATTTGTATTTGGTTACCCATCTACTTGGCCAGGGTCTCTCAATGCCAAAAATTTGCCTTCGGGTGAATTTCCAAAGAGCAAAAATCGGTAAGAGAATGAGGGAGAGGGAGAGAGAGCGGATGTTGATTATTATTATTACACATTAGGTGGTAATTTATTTTACAGCTTAAAGCTAATTTCTCTTAACATAAATATACTTTGGCTAAGGCTAAGTAATTAGAGTCTTATTAGGAGAATGATGGCCGGGGAAAGGCTTTACTTCTTGCTTTGATAATGATGATGGACTAAGTAGAGGTGTTTAATTGTGTCCCTTAATCTTGGCCCTGGGCTATGTGTTCGTTCGAATGTGGGTGTTGAGGGGTGAAGGGTGCTACAAAATCTGCACCACACCTTTGGTGTGCAGATTTCCTGAGGATTTTCATACCGGTGACACTTTTAAAATCTGTCAGCATTAAATAAAAATGAGAGCTGGGGTAACTACAGGCCTAAGGAACGTCATTTTTGGTGAATTTGGTCGAATTTTCATTTCCAGTTCACAATTATTTTTTTTTTTATTTCACATAGTCAAACCCCGTTTTTTTTCCAAAACTATGTTAAGCACTTTGCTTTTAGAGGAAAAGCAATCAGACTCAAGTATTTTTTTTTAAGTGAGTGCAAAACATTTGAAATGTATTGAAAGTTCAATTCAATCCAGCTAATTATATATTCACACACTCTTCTGAAACGAAAACGTTGTGAAATTTTGTTAACAAACTTTCTACAACAACAAAAAATTAAATAAACAAATATTTTGTCTATATAAAATCATAAATAGGGACAAATGTGAAAGGAATCATATGTTATTTATTTGCTCATCCTAAAAATATGCAACATACATTGCAAGTAATACGAAGACTTTTAAATAAAATATAAAAAAACAGTTGGGCGCCATTTTGCCCAAGCACAAAAATTTTGTCCTGTATTTGGAAAAAATTGTAATTATATTTTTTTTGTTAAGATTTTCTTTATTAAATGCTTTTTAATTTTTTCCGCCAATTTTTTGTTTGTTGGGCGCCATTTAATATATATTCGTCTAATATAAATACTTATTCGTGACAGGAAAATAATTAAACAATTAAATAAAAAAATATAGCGAAAGGAGTGATTGTGGCATGTGATATTTCTGTAAAGGCCCCACGTTGGGCGCCATTGTGATATATATGATTTTGTTCTCAAAATCCTATAAAAAAAGATAAAAGACGATAAGAAATCTAAGATATATGCCATAAAATATATCTAGTATGAATTGTCAGCAACATTTTAACTAATAACAAACAATTTTGCGATCCATGTTGGGCGCCATTTTATCATTGTGGTTTTTTTTTATTTTTTAGTGATCAACAATAGGCGTGGATTTTTTAAAAATATTTTATAGGGATTTTCTGGATAGGCGTGGATTTTTTAAAAAAATATTTTTTAGGGATTTTCTGGATAGGCGTGGATTTTTTTAAAATATTTTCTACGGATTTTCTAGATAGGCGTGGATTTTTTTAAAAATATTTTTAGAGATTTTCTGGATAGGCGTGGATTTTTTAAATATATTTTTTTAGAGATTTTCTGGATAGGCGTGGGTTTTTTTAATATTTTTTTAGAGATTTTCTGGATAGGCGTGGATTTTTTAAAAATATTTTTTAGAGATTTTCTGGGTAGGCGTGGGTTTTTGTAATATTTTTTTAGAGATTTTCTGGATAGGCGTGGATTTTTTAAAAATATTTTTTAGAGAGCGATCCATTTTGGGCGCCATTTTATCATTGTGGATTTTTTATTTTGCACTGATCAACAATATGCGTAGATTTTTTTTAAAAATATTTTTTAGCGATCTTCTGGGTAGACGTGGATTTTTTAAAAATATTTTTCAGAGATTTTCTTGATAGGCGTGGATTTTTTTAAAAATATTTTTTTGAGATTTTCTGAATAGGCGTGGGTTTTTTTTAAAAATATTTTTTCTATCGACGTATATAATTTTCTTAGGCGTGGTTTTTTTTAAAAATATTTTTTAGCAAACTTCTGGATAGGCGTGGATTTTTTATTTAAATATTTTTTAGCAAACTTCTGTATAGGCGTGGATTTTTTTTTTTAAATATTTTTTTAAGGATTTTCTGGATAGGTGTGGATTTTTTTAAAAATATTTTTTTAGGGATTTTCTGGATAGGCGTGGATTTTTTTAAAAATATTTTTTAGGGATTTTCTGGATAGGCGTGGATTTAAGGAATTTTCTGGATAGGCGTGGATTTTTTTTTTTAATATTTTTTAGGGATTTTCTGGATAGGCGTGGATTTTTTTAAAAATATTTTTTTAGGGATTTTCTGGATAGGCGTGGATTTTTTTAAAAATATTTTTTTAGGGATTTTCTGGATAGGCGTGGATTTTTTTAAAAATATTTTTTTAGGGATTTTCTGGATAGGCGTGGATTTTTTTTTCTGGATAGGCGTGGATTTTTGTAAAAATATTTTTTTAGGGATTTTCTGGATAGGCGTGGATTTTTTTAAAAATATTTTTTTAGGGATTTTCTGGATAGGCGTGGATTTTTTAAAAAATAATTTTTTTAGGGATTTTCTGGATAGGCGTGGATTTTTTTAAAAATATTTTTTTAGGGATTTTCTGGATATTTTTTAGAGATTTTCTGGATAGGCGTGGATTTTTTTAAAAATATTTTTTTAGGGTTTTTATGGATACTTTTAAGAGATTTTCTGGATAGGCGTGGATTTTTTTAAAAATATTTTTTAGGGATTTTCTGGATATTTTTTAGAGATTTTCTGGATAGGCGTGGATTTTTTTTAAAAATATTTTTTAGGGATTTTCTGGATATTTTTTAGAGATTTTCTGGATAGGCGTGGATTTTTTTAAAAATATTTTTTTAGGGATTTTCTGGATAGGCGTGGATTTTTTTAAAAATATTTTTAGGGTATCTGAAATTACCTTGGAGTTTTTTACATATTTTGTAGGTATTATCTGGATAGGCGTGGATTTTTAAAACAAAAATATATTTTATGGACTTTCTGATTTTTTTAAAGGCCCCACATTGGGCGCCATTGCGTTACATAGGATTTTGAGATAATAATTAAAAGGTAGATGCTAAAAAATATATATAAAAAAATATATCTTTGCAAAACTTTTGCCTCAGAAAAATATTTTCTTTTTTTCTGGCACCCCAGTTTGGGCGCCATTATATCTTTGCCGAAATAAAAAATCTATTTTTTCCATATTTATTGAGTTATTAGCAGGGAAAAAAGCGAAAACTTAATGATAAATGTTATAATGAGAGAAACCAGGTGATCATGTGGATTATTTATGGATTTTTTGATGAAATAAATTTGTAAAATATGTTTGAATTAAAGTAAAATATTTTTTTCTGCTCCTTCCCCGACCCTACCAGAATGTGTAGAATAATTTTTCCCAGGAGCCCCACCTTGGGCGCCATTTGCATTTATGGACTGTTGATGAAATCATTTTGTAAAATATGTTTGAATTAAACTAAAGTATTGTTGTTTCTGCTCCTCCCCTGACCCTATCAGAATATGTGGAATAATATTTTCCAGGATCCCCACGTTGGGCGCCAGTTCTTTTTTATGAATATTTGATAATTTTGTAAAATATGCTTGAATTCGTAAAATATTTTTGTGTCTGCTCCTCCTGACCAAAATATGTGTAATATTATATTTTCCCGGAACCCAACGTTGGGCGCCATTTCTACTTATGAATTATTAATGGAAAAAGCTTGAAAATTTTGTAAAATATTTGTTGTTGCTGCTCTTCCCCACCCCTGGCCCAAGCAGAATGCGTGGAATATTCCATTAAAAAATTTTTTTTGAATAACTAATTATCAGAGTATTTTGTGGGGACCTCTCTGTGTGTGGGAGAAGACAATTGTTGATTTAACTGTTGACCATTT